CTACAACTCCATAAATAGCTCTTACCTAGAATTAGTACAAAATTGACTAGATCCATCCCCTCCTTCAAGATTCCTATGACAACGTCACTTAGTAAGAGGCATCTGCAACTACTAATATTCAAAATGTTGGCAATAACATCCATCCAAAATGAGTAAGAAAAGGGACAAGTAAATAATACATGGTTTCTAGTCAGTTTCTTTGGTATCTTGACTAAAGGAACAGTTAGGGCTTGGAATGTAGCCTATTTTAAAAAGGATTTCATTGGTAAAAAGAATGGAGTTCATTTAATACTTTGTATTGAAAAGATCTTAAGTAGGGTTCGCTAGAAACTCTTATGGGCAACGTAAAGGCTTCCGAAATACAGTTATCTTCCAAATCAAATTCTTCCGCTATCTTAGCCCATTTCGTTGGCTTACCGTACTTAAACTTTATGAGCCGTTAATGAGCCGTAAGGTCACGCCTCCAGCTTAGCTTTTCCGAGTCTGGTGAGTATATGAACACCACTACCAGTAAGTTAGGACCATTACCGACGGAAACCTTGGATGAGATCCCGCCCTCCGATCCAGGCCCATCTTGTTCCATTCCTTCAGGGTCTGATGCCTGTCATACCATATCGTCGGGGCCAACTTGTGTATGTGGAAGTGCTGCTATATGGAGGCGTGACCGCATTGCTCATTAACGGTCTATTAGACCGTTAATGAGCTGTGAGGTCACGCCTCCAGCTTAGCTTTTCCGAGTCTGCTGAGTATTCGAACATCACCACCAGTATCTTGGTATAACGATCACGCTTTTGGCAGGCGTTGGTTTCAAACGCCTTATAGATAATAATGATAATAATAATGATAATAATAATAATAATAATAATGACGATGATGATAATAATAATAATAATAACATTCCCACATGTTTAAACACCTGAGAAATTCTGAAAATTGTCGCTCCCTTTGTTCAGAAGATTGTTTTAAAATTCTCGACTCTGCCTCCACAAGCTTCCAATTGAAAATCAAGGAGGCCTTGCACATCCTTTGGGAGCAGCTGTCTTTAAATTTCCAGGTCACACACCTTAATTTATCCCTTTTATACTAATTAGTCTCCTTTCAGGTAGCTTAAATAGTTTTGCCCTTTTTTGGTTCGCACCTTCATCCTTAATTATTCTTGTTAGTATCTCACTTTGCCATGCTATTTATTGCATATTTTCATTTTATTTCTCACTGTACAACTGACGATGGATGATGTCTCATCCGAAAGATGTATTTTCTTCATTAAATAATGAACTTCAAAAACACCGTGTGGCTCACCAAAGCAATAATGATGATGATAATAATAATAATGATGATGATAATGATAATGATAATGATAATGATGATGATGATAAATGCTGTTATCAAGGGGTGCCTTGGAAAACAATAAAACTAGAACTAAAATATCAATAAAAGTCCTAGAAACATACAGAAAAAGATATGTCATTCGGAAATGGGAATTACTGTTTCGAGATAACCGTGTTTTGTACTGTTTCCGCAGGGAATTGGCCTCTCTCGGAATCATGCTTCTTGGAATATTTTTTGGCGGCTTATCGGGACTGGCACTGTTACATGGTTTTGCAGCTACAGGACGAACGAGGTTCAACTGCTGCGGCGGCTACAAAAGACGCCTTCTTGGGCGTTGCTGTATTGGTTTTGTAAGTACACTTGATATTATTTTTTATTTCGAACCCGAGGGGACTTCCCTATAAAAAGGACATGGATGCTCTTCGGAAATGTTGAAAACAAAAAAACCCTAAGAGGTACCTTGATCCTGTCTTGTGGGCGTGGCTTGAAACAACACATTAAGAGAAACTTTCAAAATTTTTAACAGCGATAAAGATGAATGTAAATGAGACAAAATTAAAAATCAGTCGATTGTCAAATATCTCCTGACATATTTTTTTTTGGCTCAGTACCCTAAAAGGTACTGCAAAAGCTCCTGCTGTGGATCTTTCGAGGCTTCTTTAAACCCTAAAAGGTACGACAAGCATCGCCGTCTTTTTATCTATGGGAGTCCGTCCCCTCTCCCCACCCCCAACGGAATCAGTGAGGTCTTAAATTGATTCTTTACCTCGGCAGCTCTTCGGTTGGCATTATCTCATGTTCTTCCTGTGGATGTTTATTGCTCCAATTCTGATTATTCCACTGATTTTCATGGGAATTTTCTTTGGAATTTGTCAAGTACAAGTCGTCAAACAACTCGGAAAGACGTGCATTAAATTCAGTGAATATGGTGAGTAATTAACGTACAATCAGAAACTTGTTCTGGGTCAACAATTATTTCCCCTGACGATAAACTTTCCGAATCACAGTTTCCATATCGTGAGGCCAATGTAAAAGTATTTCTACTCAACCTACAGCTGGAAGGGTAGAGGCCCGGTGGCCTTATGGACCTCATGATTAGTGTGCTCAACTCCAGATCAAGCAGTCTGGGTTCGAGCCCTGGCCGGGGACATTGTGTTGTGTCCTTGGGCAAGACACTACTCTCAGTGCCTCTCTCCACCCAAGTGTATAAATGGGTGCCGGCGAGTTTAATGTTGGGGATAACCCTGCGATGGACTAGCATTCCATCCAGGGGGAGTAGAAATATTGCTAGTCGCTTTATGCTACAGAAACCGGGATAAGCTCCTGCCTGATGGGCCACTTGGTTCGTAAGCAAACTTTACCTTTACCTACAGCTGGATGGGATGCCAGTGCAACAGCGTTTGGTCAGTTATCCTAATATTATCCGGTGCCCATTTACACCCATATTATTCGAAAATTAGGCATTTTGTCAGAGGACCGATTGAAAGTCTCAGTTCTTCTAAAAATCTCTAGCGACTGACCAGGTTCTGACCGTCTTTAATTTCTATACTCAAAGTAAACCTTATTGGGTTTTGAAAAAAACTGTCACCGGCAGCGTTGCGGGCCCATCGAGGGTGTGGGGGGTTAAGAGATGGGGCTGGGGCCTGAGTAACCCAAATCCGATGAATTTCTGGCCTTAATATCTGTGTGCCGTTATTTTAATCAGAAAAAAAAAAATGACAGTTTTCCTTTTCGATATCAAGAATATCTGTTCTAAATATTCCAGTATTTTTCCCCACATTTCCTGTATTACGTATCTTTTTACTTAATATCCCTTATCCCCACAAACCCTTATAGGCCGTCCATGTTGCTGGTCTCTACCAAGACCACACCCCCACCAAAGAGACTTGTTACTGAGCTTCATTTCGTGACTTCCCTACTTGGGACCGGTATATATATAAACATAAAATCACCACCAGGAATTTGCGTAACGCAAGTGTACTTCTGCCGTCCAGTAGTAAAGATGTTGATACATATTTGAAAGATTAAACTTACGTTGAATACAGGTTTGGATGACATTGTCAATACAGAAGAAGTTTGTGGCGATGAGTTGCTTGTATTCTGCGAAGCGGTAAGTGGTCAAGTTATTTCATATAGCCGTCACTAAGCTTCTCTTTGTTACGTACTTTTTCTGTCGCAGAAGCTTAAACTTGGTTTAGTGGGTGAAGTTTGATACCCTGGTATATAACCAGTTAATTCGTGCTTGTTTACTGTATGTTTTTTTTTATGGATTTGTTTGTTTACTTTTCAGATGACAGGTGCCACTCCTTATTTTGCCGCAGCATTTGTTGGTGGACTCTTCATTGTCGTTGGCATGGTAGGTAGCATCTTCATATTACGTCACATAAAATAGACAAGAGTGGTAGTTTGGGAAGCCCTTTCAGAATACTCTAGATCGTGTAAAGACCAAATATGTGATGTAAAAGGTAGCGTGCTGAGGTCTTTAGTGCGAGCCCAGCCAGTGTTATTGTCGGTATTCTATTCTTGAACCTCATACAGTACCGAAAAATTGTTGTTCGGAAAATCTGACAGAATTCCGGGATTACTGGCATCCCAACATGGGGGCTTAGGAATACGTGCTCCTATTCGGGTTATACCAAGGAGCAAACTGGAGTCAAGCAAGCGTATGGTTCTTTTATGCCTCAGATCCCTGGTTTTCATACAAGCTACTTATGTTCGGTTTGAGTAGCCTATGGAAGGTTTCGGATCTCCCCATCTGTTTATGCCAAAATATCTAAGGCCCGAAGGGTTTGAGGAGTTTTTACCTCCCTCTCCCATACTGGGCAAGTAAGGAACCTCCTTAGTCTTGGCCACTGAACACAGTCCAGGCATATAAACTGGAAAATTCTCCCAGCTTCGTTCCCCAGGAGAACCTGATATTGGCTCTTAATTTTCTGTAATGCAGTGTTTTAGCACGGTGAAATATATGGAGGTTTGCGATCGCTTTACTACATTGTACTGTAATGTAGATGTTTCTACTTTCAGTATGGTTGTTTTTAACGAGTTCCTTGTTCTTCTTCCAGTTTCACATGATGTTCGTATTGACAGCAAACTACGCCCACATACATGACCACAGAACACGACCCAAGGCGTCAGAATGTTCCACATGCCGGACATGTTGTACTGTCAAGGACCCGGGCCGTTATGAAGAGTGCTTCCCTGAGCCCCCGGTGGAAGAGGTGCAATTAGCCATGGAAGAAAAATTGAAGCTGAACGCAGGGGACCCTGAAGGAGGCGCACATCCCCACCACCACCCCCACTGGGAATACGTGTACGATTATGAAAAAGCTCCAGCGATGCCTGGCAAAAAGTACTAATCGCTGTTCTAGTTGATAAAAGGATTTTGTTTCGCTGCAGGTAAGCAGTGTAAAACCGATGGCGAGAAGGACACGCTACTTTTGGAAATTTGTGAAATTCAGTCTGGAGAGTTTGACAATATTTACTTCAAGCGTTAACCGGCACAAACGCATCAAATCGAGGCCAGTTCCATCAAGTTTCATCAAAGCTAGTTCGAAAGTAGAAGCGCTCAGTTCTGTAACTGGTTCAGCCTTTTTTTACGACATGCGGCTGTAACCAATCAGGATTAAGATAAAATACCAATCATAATTGTTTTGTATGGACCACACCATGGCCCGCCCTCTTCGCTGATTGCATGTTTTTTTTTATGCTGATTATCGATTGGTTAATCACGCTATGTTTGCAGCTCGTCTGTCAACTGATTGTGTTCAGTATTAAGACAGTAGTCACGTTACAACCCAATAGTATTGCTTTTTGCATGGGTTGAGTCTTGCACCCTCCTTCCCAAAAACTGACCATTATATACCTCCAGCTTAGGAAATAGACCAACGGCTGCCATACGGCGCGATTTTTAGTATCATTATACGAAGTACCTTTCGCGGTGTTTCGTTATCCGGCAAAACAGAAAGTACGAGAAACTGTTGAAGCGAACGATTATTTTTAAATTTTTGGTGCGAGAAATGTAATGCTTTATGTATTAGCCAAGATTAAATAATAAAGCTCACATAATTCTTACTTAATAATTGTAAATAGTGATTTTTAGAACATTCTTGAAATAAACGGAGACTGCGAGTATAGTTCCTCGATTCATTCGTGGATTACAAGAAAAGCACGAGAACAAGATATAGTCGCGCGCGCGGATTGTGTGAGGCGGACGAGAAGCGGGAAAACGCGAGAGACTCGGCTATGATTTCCTCCATACTTATCGCTTTTTGTCTGCGTGGCCTTGTTTTGCGAAGCTTAACAAGGCCACCCATGACATTGATGTCATTGGTATGAACAACAACATGTGTTGACCGTAATAAGTTCTCTTCACACTCATTCCGTTTTCTCTGTCAAAGAAAGTCTTCATAGTTTCCTTCTTTCATCTTGCTAGACTCCATGCCTACTCTGTCGCGAGCCATCAGCGGCTTCATGGCCGTGAGCAGGCTGTGATATAGGCCTGGGAACAATATTTCTTGAGCTGCCAACAACTGCTTTGTTCGATGCCGCTCCTGTAAAACAATTACAAATTGATCAAATAAGGTCGTGACGCTCGACTGAGAACAACAGTTGAAATAGTGTTCACACTTGTCTTGATGCTCGGTCATAGCGCCAAGATACCGAGTGTAAACACAACCTTAGACCCCGCTGTTGAAGTTCTCTAACCCCAAGTGTTACCATAACTGTGAGAGGATGGATGTGACAGCTATCTCTTAAATGGTCTTACACTATTAACTTTTCGAAGGGAACTAATGGAAGAGGTTGTTGCCAGAACTGAGGGTCAATTTGAAATCAAAACTGGAGAAGGGAGGGGAGGGTAAATATGAGTGTTTTTCGAGTGTATATGCAACCACCGACGCGAAGAGAAATTATTACTGAATTAGAGTATTAAAGCCTCCTTCTGCGAACTTCCAAGTAAAACAAACATGCATTCGCTCAAAATATCAGTACTATACTAACCTTGGGGGCTTCAAAACAAGCGGGGCAATTTTCTGCAATCACGGGTAGTTTCACCTTAAACAAGAAAACATGAATTAGTACAGCGGAGAAAATGTTATGATCATACAGTGAGGTTGGAATCGATAGAGACTGATGTCGGTTCCTCAAAAATACAGAACGCCTCGTGATACGTTGTGCAAAATGCTTTATTAAATACACGAATCAGCAGTTACCTTTTCAGCGAAGATTCGTAGTTCCTTTTCGCGGACGTAAACTAAAGGCCGGATAACTCTCAAGTCGCCTTCCCTGAAAGAAAAAGCGAATTAAACTCAGGGAAAATAAGAAATCAACGAACCAAAATCTCTCGCAGCAGTTTACAAGAAAACGTTGTTATAAGCAGAAACGTAGTTTTAACTACGTATTTAAAAACATCGAGTCGCTGACGATGGAGCGGTTTTCATTTGCGCGTAGAACAGTAATTGACTACGCTACATGATTCGCTTAGAAACTCGCGCCACTTTTTCATCCAATCAGAAGTTAAACCAAAACCAATCGTGACTCGTTCGCACACGTTTTCCCGCGCTTTACGTCAGTGACATATAATTGCTCCGAGTTTTGATCGGTTCACTGAATTGTCCGTCTCTTTTGTGATTGGCTAGAGTTATAACTTTGGTTTTGGTTTTACGACACTCAATTGCAAACGGCTCTAGTACTAAGATTTTACAAATTTAGAGTTAAGGTTATTCTGTCGGGTTCTTGGAGAGGGTTCTCCACTCTCACAGTTCTCTCTTTACCCAGGAGTATAAATGATCACAAAGTAAATATTTAAAGTAACCTGATAAAATGCTCCCCCTGACTGAGAGAGGTCTAACCCTTTCACTCCCAAGATCTGAACGTTAATTCTCTTAACTAGTACCATAAATTTCATTGTTGGCTAGTACTGAGAATTTTTTGTTTCATCAAGACCATATCTTCTTGTTGACAATTTTCGTTATTCTCAGTACCTGTCTGCTTGACAGTGTATTAAAAGTGTAAGGAGAATTTACTTACCAATCACTCCTGAGAGTCAAAGGGTTAATACTTCTAGTCTCTTCATGATACAGAAAACGAAGTTAACTGAAACTCGGGCATGAAGAAGCACTCTGCTCGAAAAAATTTCTTCGTTCAAAAAAAAAAACGACTTACGAGACTGTATAGTTCGCCTTCATTGTGCGCAAGAGACCGTTGTGGAATGCTGACATCAAAAAGCTGTGAATCAATTAAAACAACAAGAAAATTAGGTTTATTTCCTGAATATGACTTACACTGTGAGCGTTGAATTATGGTGGAACTTGCATTGCTTTTTACGCCTTTACAGTGTGTTTAGGCACGGTTTTGTTAGCCACTCGACGACTGTATAGCTCGCATTTTACGTGCGGTTTTCATAGATGAAAACGAAACGCAAAATATCATCTAAGTAGGACACCCCATGTCCTCCCCCTCCTTGTCGTAGATACTTTGGCCACCTGACCTAGTTCTACTTGGCGAGAGATTCACAGTCACAGATAAGTGTTGCGTTAAGTAGTTTTCTGTGTCAGTCGTTTCTTTTCAGTGCTCGTCCGAAATATCTCTACTATCAGTAAAGGAAAGGAATAAGCAATAGGTAGTAAGCATTGCACTATCATTGGTTGCCTCCAGAAATAATCTCAGGAAAAGATCATTTTCAACTCAACTACACACCTCTCAGCCAAGTCATCTAAGTGTTGTCCCATCGCTAGCACATTATAACCCTCTCGTCTGGCGCATGCGTACAACCGGCCACGCTTCATTCGTGAACAAAAACTACATATTGACTCGCAAACAGTGAGTTGGGCTGCCTGTTGAATGATACCTGTGGAGGAAAAAACATGGTTAAGAGAGCCAACTGGGAGTTTTCTTTCGACAAAGGACAACATCAGCTAGTGGAGGGCGGAAATCAGGAACCACCGGATCACAAGACCAACATCCTCGACTTCTTGACCATCCCGCCTCCATGTCGATATATTCTACGTTCTAAAACACACGGCTTAAGACTTTCACTAAAATCTTTCTTTTGACTGCGGGATCGATTTTTTTTTCGAACTTTTTGGCCTGACCAAAGAACGGAAAACCTTGAAGGCAGTTCCTTAAAGTCTGACAGCCTTGATTCAGCAATCCCTACCCCTCCAGCCAACCATCTTCTTGTTAGCGCTGTTACAGTCATAAACATATCATAGTTATCAGGGCGTAGTTTTAAAATTTGAATAGGTCAAGATTCGACGTCAAACACCGTTAAACTGTCACTTACCCTGCTCTTCAAAGAAGTAAGGAACACCAAGGGACGCTAAATAGTGGACCAGAGGTTTAGGATCATATCCAGGTGACTGAGGGTCCACAGTAGCCGATCCAAGTTCAAAATTAATACCCTGAAAACGAACCAAGCCATACATACGTGTTAACATAATATAAAAAGAAAACATTTTGAATTTTGCAAAAACACCGTCAAAAAACGTACCCCTGACACTACTCTCCGGACACGACAGTTTGTAGACAGGACTGCTGATTACACATATCTTATTAACCAAGCGCGAGTGCCGTGCTGAGAGAATATCGACCCGAGATCTTGACAGTACGGACCGAACGCAGCGACGTCCGTAAAAAAAGGCCTCGGGCCGATATTCTCCCAGTGCTGCTCTCGCGCTTGGTTAATAAGATACATTTATTACACCCTTGAAAATGAGGAAAAAAATGTAACGATCACGGACTGCAAAAAAGCGTGCAATTCTGATTGGGAGCCTACTAGGCGTATACTCACGTCGGAAGGGTAAGAGAGTTGGAAGAAAAAGAAAGGGATCTTTTATGTTTAAGGCAAGTTCTTCTCTTTGACTAAGCCATAAAACAACCAAAAAAAATCTTCAAGAGTGATCGTGCGGGATCATTCGGGATAGTGCCCGTTCTAATACTGAGAGACTATTGGACTGGGAATGGAGCAATGTGACTGGCTAATTTTAGTTATTGGCCCTTTGAACTAACTCAGACGTGTAATGAACGATCACGATTGCATACCTTAGACTTGCTGTAGTATTGATACTGATGTAAGGTGTGCAGCAAAGATAGTGAATCCTTGCCTCCTGACAGACAGACCATCACTCGATCACCATCATGAATCATGTCGTATTCTTCTAAAGCCTAAAAATCCATAACGGAAAAGCAATAACCGACTGACTTTAGCAAGCGTTTCAGTGGAAGTGAGTCTAACCACATTTTTTAACTTTGGCGCATGTCAAAGTATTTTATTGGATTCTCTAGTTTCCAATTCCCCATAATTCACTCTGCTTGCCCGCTGTTGTGAAATGCTCTTGGGAGGTCTGCATATTCCCAAGAGCATTTCATAGCAATAGTATACGCAAAATTGAGGGTGGGGCGGGGGGGGGCGGGGCGGNGGGGGGGGGGGGGGGGGGGGGGGGGCAAATAGAGTGAATTATGGGCAATTGGAAAATAGAGAATTGCCATGTGATAAATATGTCATACTGAATGTAATACTGAAACATTGTCATATGAAATGACGTATTTGCACTATTCTTGGACTAGTATGATAACAAAAGTGAAACAGCCGAAAATGGCCTTTCCCGTGGAAATGCATATAATAAAACCCAACAACTTTGTGAGGCGCTAAAAAAGTATCATCACACAGTTGCCCTTCAAGCGGCTATACCTTCGGACAGAGCATGTTGCAAGAAATTTAGGACACACAACAATGACTTTCGATGATGTTCAACGTGTATTTTTCAGTAGAAGCGAGGGATCAAAAACGCCAAACGACCGACATCCCGCAAAAAAATTAGCCAATCCAGTTCTGGCTCTCTCACGACACTTAACGCTTCGCTTGTGAGAGAGAGGGAACCTCTCTCCTACCAGCGTATCGTTGCCTGACAGAGAGAGGGCCACAATTGGGCTATTCAAAAATTAGCCTGAGCCTAAATAATGAGAAGCAACTCAATTACTGTGATCAAACTCTCACTCCCCGATTGACTTCAGAATTCTCCCTACGGACTTCCATATATTTTTTGTTAAGTTACTTGTAAGAATTTGCTACTTGACGAAATTGATAAGTTTAATATTCTCTTACTTGTACAGTTGGTTTAAAAATGTTCTTTGGTGGATGATGAAACTGCGGTTTACCAGTTGTCACTTCGTTTTGCTTGCTCTTTCTTGGTTTCCTTCGACAAACATTTTCTGAATTTGCAACAGCATCGTTGTTTTCAGAAATCATCTTGTTTTCAGAAGAAGAATTTGTGATTGCATTCAGGCCGGTAGTCCTCGCTCCGTCAAAAGTTGACGAAACGGGGCACTTGTCAAAATCGTTCGATGAAGATTCAATATATTTAGCAGCGGAGTTTTCGAGGGCGTTTTCCTCTTTGGTAAATTCGCAAGAGCCAGTCTCTACAGATGAAATTTCCAGAGCCCTTTCCACGCAGACACGATTTTCTCCCTGTCTTGCATCAGTATTTTCAGCTTCAGAATTCGCAGGATAATATTTGCCAGCTTCGAGAGATATAGCGTCCCCATTTGTCATTAAATTTACAACGTTTGCCATACCTAGGTCAGGAAATGTTGATAGATCTCTGTTTCTATAGTTATCGCATTTCTCGTTATTAAAATGCACATCACCAGTGTATGAATCATGGATTTGTCCATTAACAACACAATTAGAATCCACAACTAAATTGTTGACATTTTCTCTGGATGTAGCAGACTTGTATGCTGATTTCAAGGAGCATTTTTCTTTGGTACTTAAACAGATCTCATCACAAGGTTTCAAGCAACCAGTCCTATTTAAATTAGTCCCCTCTAAGATACTCGTGTCAGCTTTCCACTGTGGTGGAGTAAACGGCGGTGTTATTGGAAAGTGCGCAGGATTTTTTCCACTTAACAGCTGGGCAGCTTCGCTTGGAAGTAAAAACCAGCGGTACTTTTCGCCTTCTTCACCCAGCAATAATGACTGATCACCAACACTGTTAATAATCTGGGAAGAAGAATAAAATAATTTCAAATTGAAAGAAAGTATTTACAGGTTCATAAAACGCCTGGAAGATGAAACAATTCGATTCAAACACTGGTTTCTATCTCCTCAGAAACTGCATGGAGAATTAAAGCAAAGTAATAAAATGTGAAATCAGTCGTCTATCGTCGACCTAATACACTGTACTGCGTACGAAGAACAACAACCAGAAGTTTTCCTGTTATTACCTTGTTTGTAGCTGCTTTACGGAATATTTTCTCAGCTTCAGAAAGACACTCCTGAAGAAGAAGATAAAAAACAGAGATTTCTGTGAAGAAAAGTTGGTAAAAGAAAGGAGAGATCCAAAAATAAACTCTTCTTGTATTAACACGCAAATGTTCTCACCATTTCACGGTTAAAAAACACGGAAGTCGTTAATGGTCCGTGCCTTGTTTATTCTGTTCTTAAGTTTCTATATAAACGCAAACATTTCTATCTCTTTATTTCTATGACCTGCATGTACGATTCTCCGTTGATATCTGCAATGTTATGTCTGACTTCTCTTGACAAGATTCTTACATTCCGTTGCCAAGTAGGCTACTTAACAATCAGATTATGAGCTCGAGATTTTTGTCAACTATCACGCATAGAAATCGAGAGCGAATGATCTAACTGCTTAGTATAAATCTACTAGTTGTTCAAAACGTTGTTATCTAAATCCTCTTCACAGACACTTCGAAAATGCAAGCGGAGAAAGGGCCACCATTTTGTTGGCAACCGCACACTGCTTGGCTACTATCTATTTAACAATTAGATTATGAGCTCGAGATTTCTATGAGGTGAAAGTTGATGAGGGCGCAGTCCCAGCCAAGTATCATGCGATAGAAATCGAGAGCGAATAATCTAATTGTTTTAGTAGAATTCTTACTAGAATTTACTTCAAATAACGGTTTCCAATTATTTCTGGACGTATTATTTAACTTTGCACCTGAAAAAGATCGCTCCAATTGAATTGTCATTTAAAATTGAAGTTGTGCACGTGCACACATCAGTTTTTTCAATAATTTCAATTTTTTTAATGTCAAGAACCCGAAAATGTCCTTCATTATTATTATTGTTATTATTATCATTAAACTATCCATTTGCATCAAAATTTTCCTCCAAAACCTTGGAAAAACGAAAAAAATGTCGACATTTCCTAGACGACCTCCAGCCACTGCACACTAATAAACAATCAGATTGATAGTTGACGAGGGCGCAGCGAATAATCTAATTGTTTTAGTATAAATCTACTAGTCGTTCAAAACTTTATCTAAATCCTCTTCACAGACACTGAGAAAACGCCAAGAAGCGACCGTCATTTTGTTAACAAGTGCACACTGTTACGCTACTCACTATCTACCACAGAATAGACAGTGAGTAGTGTAGCCAATCAGAGAACGGCATTCGTGATAAAACGCTAGTAGATTTACACTTATGCACAATTTGGTACCAAGGTACCAAGGTTAAACGAGAAAACTGCAGAACATGAAAATTCCTGAACAGTTTCTTACCGAGTAAGAACTTGAAGTTTCTTCCGTGATCGGAGAGGATGATGGGTAGGTCATGTGACCATCTGAATACGAGATTGAACCGAGCCACTTCCGGTCACGAAACACCTGCAATCAAACGCAACGGCAAAGTATTCGTGACAACTGCTTTACTGATTAACCGTAGCAGCTGTGGTGACAAGGGCGACCTAAAAGATGCGGTGTATTTGAAATATTTAAAAAAATGATAACAATGACCCCAAAAAAGAAGAAGCAAATAAGAGTTCAAGAGTAAATACCAATGTGTTACGTAAGAACGCTAACTTGATGGCTGATCCAAAACTACGAATACTGCAAGAAATTACAGTGCTTTAAAAAAAGAGAGAGGGACAAAACAATAACAGACAGACAGACAGACGCACAGACATATACACAGACAGACACACAGATTTACCTAGGGAAAATCAAGCAAACAAACAAATGCAGCACGTAAGGGTTACCTGATGTTTTCTATGCTTCCATTCTCCAGTCTCAGGATTGAACATGTACTAAACAGATCAGGAAGACAAAAGATTATTACCATCGTTAAGTGACACAACAACCACGGCCAAAGCAGACTTGCAGTCACCCGCATCGCTGCCCAGCGGCATCATTCTTTTTTTTTTTCCTTTGGTTTGCCAATCTCATCACCAACAACCGCACACACAGGCTGTGTCCACAGGTGGAAACTTTAGCTTTCCGCGCCTTACGTTTCGTTTAACGTGGTTTTCAATGGGTTAAGAGCTAAGACACTAATAAGGAGATGACAAGAACGACATATCTGTCTGCAAGTGAGCATATGAAAGATCATATATTTGAACTGCCGAGAAAAATATGAAAACAAGATTACATGATCATCGAAGTTATGTACATAGCTTAGGCAGCTGTAAAATTTCAGGCTTCAATTTCACAGCTGCATAAGTTGTGCATATAACTGCAATGATTATTATGATTATTGATGTGTTCACATATCTTTCTGTTATCACAGAGCTTTTCTTTTTTGTGTACCTGTGGAAGAAGCTTCCAGCCATGTTCTGCCACCATCTCCACTGCTTTTAAAACAAACTCCACAGCATCGTGTGACATGAAATACGGCAAATTGAGACGGACAAAGCCTGGTCTATAAATTAATCCAAGAACGGCAACAGGGTGTCAATGTTTGGAACAAAAAAATACTGCGTCACTTTCTATGGAATTCACTCTACGCCGGAGGAATTTGAAAACGCAGCTTTCTTTCTACGGTTAGGCCTACCGTCCACACTAATCCGACACGAAAACGGAGCTTTTTTGAAAACGCTCTGTAAACCAGAGGAATTTGAAAACGCAGCTTTCTTTCTACGGTTAGGCCTACCGTCCACACTAATCCGTCACGAAAACGGAGCTTTTTGAAAACGCTCTTCAAACCGGAGGGATTTCAAAACGTCGGCTTTTCGTTTTCGTGTGGATGGAAAACATTTTGAAAACGGAGTTTATCGAAAACGATGACGTCACGATAATCACGTGATTTCCCTGACCGAGTTTTCCTCAAACACAAATCCAAAATGACCGGTGATTGTTGCGTTTTCAAATTCCTCCGGCGTAATGTGGACGGAAAACATTTAATGCGCTTTTAGAGTGACTCCCCTCCGTTTTTAAATTCCTCATAGTGTGGACCGGGCCTTACTATTACTCTAAAAGTCGATGTTTACGTTGTACCCCACATCAAGTTTTCAAAGTGTTTTCGCATATTCAATTCAATTTTTTATTTACACTATATCGGGCATTTAGATCGATACATTCTATAGGTAAAGTAAAGAAAATAGCAAAACAAAGTCAAGAAATGTAAAGCCGTAAGGAAATAAAATGGATTTGTCAACAGTGGCCAAAGTATTGCGATTAAAGGGAAAAGATTGTCACCAGTTCAGCGCTTTTTCAAGTGTTAAAATATTTACCTTAAAATTTCTCGTTCAGAATATTCCTGGTATCGTCGAAGATGAACCCTGTCTAAGCGACTGCGAAAAAATAAGGAAACTTTAAAGGATGTAAGAAGTAGAAAACAAATGATAAAATAACATGCTAAGACAAAAGGAGCGAAAAATCAAAGGATAAAAATGAAACTGACATAGACACACACCTGTCTTCCAGTAGGAGATCTTCAATCTCCTTTGCCAGTCGTTCATTTATTCCCAAAAGACTCTACCAAAATAAAATAAATTAAAATCGGTCTTTACTTTCCGATAAACTCAGCTAACGTTTCAGGAGCGAAATGAGACGAAGTTTAGAATTTGTTTCCGGAAAATCTAGCTAAAAATAACATTTACTGACCTTAAAACGCTCTATGCAAATAAGCCATTTTATAGCTGGGTGCTTAGTTACCTGGCCTATGATTGCAAGCGAGACTGGAGGTGACCTTGCTTTGATACAGACCTCTCTGCTTTTCTCATTTAAACGCAAACTAGTTAGCATTAAAACAACTTGATTTACATGCACAACAAAAATAGTGAGGTCTGTATCACAAGGTCACCTCTGGCCTCGCAACCATTCAAAGGCCAGGCCATGGAGCAGACAACTGTAAAATGGTCTATTGGAGGACATTAACAGGCAAATTATAAGTACAAGAATAGCAGACACCTGCGCATAGGGGCCCGCACAAGCACACCCTCCACGAGCCTGTATTCCAAACAAGTCATTAAGCAAGGCACACACGTAGTTGTGATGTAAGAACACCCCAGCGATTGGGTGCCTGATGAGGAAGGAAAATATAGGGAGACGAGGGACCGAAGTGCTGCCTAGAAGAACAAGGTTACTGCTACTGCTCCATGCCGCCAATGCTTTCCTGTAAATGAAAAAAATACAGATTACAGTTCAGGACATCTTCCCTCTTGAGTTGGGTTCCCGACCGCACGAAATTGTAACATTGAAAACAGCTAACAAGGGGACAGTCAACATAAGAACAAACATTGCAGAATGGTGACTGTTATCCAGTATTTTAGCACCATTGTGCAAATGCTACATCACAGCATTTCCATTGTTTTGACATTTGGGGGAAAAGTTCGTCAGAAGCATTTCCTTATCCTTTGCTCCTTTAGCATTTTGTAATAATTAAATACATAAAATAGTGTATTTGAAGGAAAATTTTGCGTATCGTTAAAGTTTATTTTGAAAATTTAACTAACCTGCATAGCTCTTCCTCTCTAGTCATAATGGCAGCTGCTCCAATTTCCTTAATGAAAGGTACATCAAAACGTTAAGGCAACAAAAACATTTAAGGATAAGGAAAACGACCACTTTTCTAAGTTTAAAAAACATGTTTCGACAGAACTTCTGTCATCTTCAGTTGAATGAATGATTACAAAGCAAGTTGAATAATAAGTAGGCAAAAATGCTAATTANTAATTAAGACAAATAGTAACAACAGAACGTGAAAAGGTGTAAATTAAAAGGATAATTTTAGATTTACATGGTGTAATTGCTGATTGAGGCAAGGTAGGCTATCCATATTCAAAAAGAACTACCTTGCCTCAATCAGCAATTACACCATGTAAATCTAAAATTATCCTTTTA